ATGGAATTTTTTGTATTTTTCTAATTAAAATTCTCAAAATCATGAATTTCTTTTTATTTTAATTACGAAGAAACGGAGCGAAATTAGATAAACCCCGCCCGGACCAAAGTTGGTCCTTGTATTTATCCCGACATTTTGAGACCTTAGTCGGGGAAAACGGACTCCGTTTGGACGAGTAGTGACCGCCAACAGACAGGAAAAGAGGAAAAAATTAAAAGAAAAATAGTGATTTTCTTTGTATTTTTATAAAAATAAAACGGAAACAGAAGTCTGCGGCAAAAGTGATCCGAGGGAACCCGACTTTCAAATTGACTACAAACTGACGGAAAATTTTATGCCTCGAGAAGTTGTACGTGGTGGCGTGCGGTGACGCGCAAAACCCTAAAACCCTAATTGGGGGAAACCCTAATTAGGGTAAAACCCTAACCCTAACTTAGGGAAGGGCGGTGCGTAGCCGGGCGGATACAAGTCTTTCTATCCGACCGGTGATGAGAAACTTTGTATAAATCCAGTTGACCAAATTGAAATTAATCAATATTGGAAATTTTGTTTTATTAAATAATTTTGGTTGTAAATTTGTTTTAAGTACTAATTTATCATTTAAAATCAATTTAAAATCAAAGTAATTATCTAAAATTCTACAAGAAAGGAGAGTTGACTTTATTTCGACTTTGTGATTCGGGTGGTACTTTGCTGAACCCCATGCCAACGGGGGGGGAGCCAAGTCCTGCCGAAATTACTCGGCAATTTGCTGAATTTTATTCAATTAAATCTTAAATAATTAAAGAAAATACTTGAAAATTAGCTAAAAATTGAGATACTTAATCTTTCTTGTTGAACATCATTTTGAGGTCTTCGGCCAAACCCTCCCTCAACGGGGGGGAGCCAGAATGCAGCCGGAACTCCGCAAAAATTTTCTAATTTAAATTATTAATCTTTTTTTATATATATATATATATATATATTGAAAGCAATTAGAGAAATTAAATAAAAATACGTTAGAAATTTGTTTCTTTCAGCGGCCTTCCTCTTCTTTCATTTGGCTTTAGTTCTGGGTAGGTAGCATTTGTCTAGGGACAATAGTCCCGAACCCCATCCCAAAGGGGGGAGGCGAAACGCTGCTGAAATTTTAGTGAAAATCCTGAAATTTTATTTCTACCCCTAAAAAGGATCAAACTCGGCGGGCTTATTTAAGTATTGATCCTTAATATATATATAAACTAAGACAGAAAATTTAACTTAACTAAATACATTTTCTTTAATTTATAATTGAAAAATACAAGAGAATTCCCTAGAAGGAGAAGGGAGGGAGACATTGCGGTAACCTGGTTTCAGGAGAACCTACTAGCTTGTTCTCGAAGGCGTGAGGGAAGCGACGTGAAATTTCAGTCATTAATCTACACCTTCTGCTTGTCGCGCTCTCCCTAGCCGCCAGTTGGATGTGGCCGCGGATGCAAGTAGAGGTCTATGGGGCTACCATTGACTGGGACTTAGAGCCCCCTAAACTCATAGAGGGGGATCTGGTCGAGCTCACGATCCCCGGACGCAGCATTCGACATGCAGACGGCCAGTTTGCGTGGAGGTCCATAATCCTGTCCGAGGACGTGTGGCTTTGGACGTACAGAGAGCACCGCCCGGGGCAAGGAGTGGGCGTAGTGAGAGCCTACTTGTATTTGGGACCGGGTGCGGTCAGGGAGGCCGTGGTGGGCTTCGCGACGACAGGGACTAGTGACGCAGTTAGCAGAGCATTACGCTACCTAGGGGAAGAGGTGGCTGCTTTCCGAGCAGAGGACGCGAGTGACCCGTTGACCCTATTTCACGGACGCCCTCCTCTTGATATCACGGGCGAGCTCGTAATAGCACGGGACGAGTTTTTCCCGTACAGCGTTAGGAGCCTGCGGACGATAGTTCCGACGTTCGTAGTGGAGAGCGTCTTTGGAGGTATTGGTGGAGTGGTCGAGACWTACCTGCCTTATCAGGATCTCAAGATCTTGGCGAGAAGACCTGCCGACCTGGACTATATCTATTATTCGCTCGCGACTGGTGGGCCTCGTTGGGGAGACGAGAGGGTTCAGCTTATAGAGCTGATCCGCTCGATAGACGACGAGTGGCCCCAGTCTTCGTGCGTTTGGGATTGGCTAGAYYGTGAGCTYCRAGMAGGCCCCGAGTACGTGACTTGCATCGGGCGGCTCTTCTCAGACGACTGGGGGAGCTGGTGGAGTGAGGACGCCGCGCGACCTCTGATATACGGCCATCAGTTGACGGAGTACTACTAGGCTATAGGACAGGCGCCATACCGCATCGAGGACGAGTTTGATGACGAGGGTTGGGAGCGAGAAGACGACGAGGAGCTGTGGGAGCCAGACTTGGTCGACCCAGATAGTGAGGTTGACCAGGAGGAGATTGACGTTATAGACGCCCATTTTTCCAGGATAGGAGTAGCGGTTCGGGCGTAGGAGGTAAAGGAGCGCACCACGGCGACGGTTGAGTGAACCTGGTTACTGAACCTATTCGACCATACTGGACCTGAGTGCGAGAGTTGTCAGAAGGGTTAGTAGCGTCGCGAGATGGGGTGTATCAGAGGGAGTAGAGTGATGCTGACCGAGAGTAGGAGAAGAAATGAGGAGTGATTCAGCGGTCTGGTTAGCTTATGTTTTCTCACGAGAGTCCGAGTCGTATAGTGTGAGGAAGCTTGTGGGACCCAGAGAGACGGCGGTTGGATACGACATACCACTTCCTGTGGCGTTAGAAGACACAGGGTGAGTACCGATACGATACTTGGGAACGTGGCTCGCAGAGGGGCTCTTCCTATGGACAGTGATACTACGAGACGAACGACCCGAGAGGATTCATGATCTAGAAGGGGTCGGACATCTAATAGCGGATAGAACACACGATTTAGAGATAGGGCTAACGGTCGCAGGGACGAGCAGGAGTTGGTGGAGAAGTGAGTTGTTGGGCAGAGTGATCGTTAATCAGCAATTGGCGAGACTCGCTGGAGGGAGGACGAGTAGGAGCTGCTTGGTGTACGGTCCACCACATCCGACCCTCTACCCGAGAAAGGATTGGCGATTCGGACTTCCTATCTTCGTGATAGGCCAGACCTATGGGAGCGTGGATCGTTTGAAGAGAGCAGTGGATCACACACTTTACGCGCTCTGGGGGGGCTTAGCGCCCCGCTTCAAGGAAGTATACTACGCCATTTGTGCGAGGTGGGGGCCGCCCAGTAGAGAGACGCTTGACGACATCATAGATGTTACGAGCTGGGTGGACTGTCTGAGACCAATCGATCTGATTAGGTACTGCAGGAGACGGGCAGAGATCGATTACGCGGGGCTAGAAGACGCGAGATTTCTCTTCGAGCTCGCAGCTTAGGGAATGCCGGAAAGGACGCCCACGGTGATGCGTCTAGAAGAGTAACTGGTAAGCACAGGATACACTGTGACAGTACTTCTCCGAGCGTACTTAGATGAGGACTTGACGGCGAGTGGGTGCAGACAACGAGTTAGGGATTTGATCCACGAGCATAGAGCTGATGTACTGGCGCAAGTGACCTTCCAGACCTCGATTACTTATGATGTGATGATATGGTCTCATGGTTATATGCGCGCGGAGCACTACCACTATGAGACGGTAGAGGAGGCTAGAGCGAGGGTGAGAGGATGAGCTGGAGAAAGTTGTGGACTGAGTATGGAAGAGGAGAGTGAGGCAGTCGGAAGAGTGAGAAAGCGCGTTAAAGAACCACTCTTGAACCAGGTAAAGAAGTTGGGGGACAAGTTAAGGGAGATCTGGTCGTGTCGAGACGAGGGCAAGTTGCGAAGGGCTGAACTCGTGACAAGAGAGTTAGACAATCTGTTTAGGGAGGAAAGAGAGATTATCTAGGCGTGGAGATCAGACTTTCTGGAGAGCGTAAAGGCTAGAAGCGTATCACGAGGAGGAACTAGTAAGCGATCTGCAGAAAGCGAGACAACGGAAGACAAAGTTACGYGGGGGAGTAGCGACGGGACATGAGCGGCACTGCACTACACACGACGGATTGGTACTCATTACATGTGGTAGGGAGATTGGACGGACCATTAGTGTTAGTGATTATAGAGCTCCAGCTCCATACCAGGCTGTGCATAGTTGAGGAGGCAGAGTGTGTCCGCCGTGCACTGCGTGAGGCTAGGGGAACAGGACTTTGGATTGGAATAGAAGGAGGACGGAGGATAAAATACGTACTCCAAGTGACACCTTTCGAAGGTCGGTCTCGGATAAGGGCATGGTACGAGACGACCCGAGAGGCTGAGAGGTTGAAGATAAGCGAGGCCAGGAAAGCTGGAGAGTTAGGGAGAGTTGTAACAGATGGTGCAATACTCAGGGTGTTAGCCACTCACAACCGGTACTGGAAGGAAACGATGAAGACTTTAGAGGCGATAGACGAAGGAGGAGATAGTGAGGACTTTGAGATATTTTATGACGTATTGGAGCGGTCGGCGAGGAGGCTACAGGTCGTTATGGCACTAACTTACCTCAGCTGTTAGACAGATGACCTCGTGACTGTTGAGGATATAAGGTAGAGGAAATGGAAATTGGAAGCTCTTGGAAGTAAAGAGGAAGCTATAAAGGTCGATCGGCGACATTGGGCGACATTAGGAGGGCCTTTAGCGGGTTTGCCGATTCAGACTGGGCTAGGAGAACTAGATAGGAGGACGGAGAGAGACGCTCAGGAACTCTTGAGAAGTGTTGATCAGGAAACATTGGCTAGGTTTGGAATTGAAAACCGTCTCAAGGATAGAGATCCGGCCACGGACGTACTTTGGATCCGGACAGGCACGGCCTTGTTGACCGAACCCGAAGGAGAGGTTACTTAGACACAGATCTGCGACCGGTATGGGATACTAGAGGTGGTAATCAAGGCAGTCGAGAGCTAAGATTGGAGGCGGACGCGAATCGTGATAAAGGAACAGGTCTGGGCTGCCGCGACTGTCACAGGTCTGGGCTGCCGCGACTGTCACAGGTCCGGGCTGCAGCGACTGTCATAGGGTCGGACTGTAACAGTTGGCCAGAATACCTAATTGCATCTTCTGGCGGTCCAATAGAACCCGACACGATGGGGCCACAACCGACCGCGGGCGAAGCGGGAGAGGAGTATAGGACATCGCCCGACCGGGCTCTGAGAGAACTGAAGGAGCGAATTAGGCAAGAAGCACCGCTGAGATGGGCTGACCAAACCAATGACGGAAGGTCCGACATGAGAGGTGAACCAGTTGCGACAGAGTCACAGGAGGCTCTAAAGACGGGTACCTCGAGCGGACGACGAGAAACGACGAGGCGGCGCTCCCCCGAGTACGAGCGGAGGGACATCATAGTGGACAGGTACAGAGACGACTGGAGAGAGAATTTGAGGGATTCCTACTGGAGGGACAGAGATAGAGAGAGAGCGCCGCCCAGACGAGTCTTCGACCCCCAAACAGGGGAGTCACATCCGCTCCCTTACGAGAGCAAGGACCGGTATATTATTACGCACAAGGTCTCAGAGCCTCCTGCCTTCATCACAGAATATCTCGAGAAGTGGGAGCTTCACGCCAGCCGGAGTCAGTGGTCGGAGGAAGAGATTATAGAGAACTTCCTATTTAATGTGGACCCAAGTCTCGATAGGGAAGTTAAGGAAGCTCGACCGAAGGATGGCAAATGGRCTACGTACAAGAAGAACCTCGTTGAGCTTTACAAATTGGAGGATAACAAGTATTCSATCAAGGACCTTGAAACAATGACTCAAGATGAAGATGAGAGCGTACGGGCATTTGGGATGCGTTTCCARAAGATCTCCGACGTGCTGATGAAGAAGGGRAAGATCTCAGAGGTCGAGCGYTGTACTATCTTCATCGGACACTTGTCCAAAGGTAGGCAAAAGAGTATWCTTAGAGATCTTCCGCGCGACAGGCTTGATTTCCCAGAAGTTCTAAAGCTCGCGATAAAGGCAGAGGCAGACGATTACAAGGACTTGGTGTGGAGAGGGATGAGGAGACGTGACTTCTCTCTCTACAAGGAGTATGCCACTGATAGATGTCCTGATTTCAAGGACTATCCCTGGTCGGAGAAGAATGAGGCTTTAGATGAGGAAGTGAAGGAGATACGGGACATGGTCAAGGGATTGACAAGACAGGTTACGGAGATTGTGACCGCCACAGGGGTCACGGCCTACCGGGACAAACCTGGAGGGCCCTATTCGCTTCGCTGGGACCGTAGGAACAAGGATTCCTGGAGGAGTGTCGAGGATAGAAATCCTCGGACGCTGACTGATTATTGAACGAGGGGAGAAGAGAGAGACGATGAGCCATGGCGACGTAGGAACGATGAGATAGACCGAGACCGCAGAGATCGCGAGCCGTTTGTGCGAGCAAGAAGGCTGGATGATTACCCGCGAAGCCCTCGCTATGAGGCCGATCGGGGTAGAGGCGACTCCCGCGGCCAATGGGAGAGGGACGGCAGATACGAGGGATCGGACCGGGATGGATATAGGGACGACAGATACGAGAGGTCGGGTCGAGATAGCTACCGAGGAAGTTGATATGAGAGAGGAGATCGGGACTGGGAACAGCAAGATAGGTCGCGCGGACGGTTTGGGCGCGGGGGAGATGCGAGAGAGCAGCGCGACGAGTTGCGGGGATGGTACAACCGAGGGGACCGACGTGATGAGTCACGAGGACGATATAACTCGGGAGACCGTCGGGATGATTCGCGAGGGCGATATGACCAAGGAGGGTCTGGAGGAGACCGGCGCAACGATTTGCGCGGTCGGAATGAGAGAGGGGGATATGGTGTCTCATCAGAACCATATCCRAAGTCGCCTGACCCCAACGCGGCCAGAAATTCGATGTCTAAAGGCGCAGACGACAGGGCGTCTACTCCCAGAAACTCATGCGTCTATTGTAGAGGGGAAGATCATATCAAGAGGGATTGCCCGGACCTCAAACGGACAATAGAAGAGGGACTTGTCGTGCTTGACGACCGCAAGTACGTCAAGTGGGCAGATGATCTCGGAGATGTATCAATGTTCCCTTCGATGAAGGAGAATGTCGAAGCAAGGAGAATAAAGACGAGCAAAGGAATGGAGCCGGTCAGAAGTCAGAGCATCAAGATAACCTTAGAGGGGGATATGGCGACCACACCCATAAGGGTGGCAGCCACCAAGTCGGCGAGAGGGTCTTCATCAAAGAAAACTGACACGGATTACGTGATGGCGGAGAAGGACGGGCARCGGGTCGATGGAGAGGAGGTTATCCTTTCGCCGCGAAAGCGGGGAGTCAAGAAGTTCTTAATGAAGAGTTCGCTGGACGAGATTGACACGGTCGAGCCACTGAGGCGGGCCCTGTGGCAACCCATGCAGTGCTCTATTCTGGAGTACCTGGCGGYATCGAAGCCAGCTCGTGATGAGTTACAGATGATCACGAGGAAGACCCGCATACCTCTATCGGAGGAGGGTCAGGGGGCCCCTAAGGCGGAAGCTTTTATAGTAGCAGTAAAGGGAGTGACCGCCAGAGCGGACCGCATGGCGACAGTCCTTCTTGATAGAATGGAAGGTGTGCCCCCAGACAAGTTTTATATACTTGGTAGCGGGGCCGTAGAGACGATTATAAACGATGGAGCGGTACTCGATGCTGTGATTGATAACGGCAGTGAGGCTGTCATCATAGACGAGGACCTGGCAGTACAGGTTGGACTGAGCCTCGATAGGTCATACTTATTCGAGATAGAGACGGCTGATGGGAGAAAGCAACAGATCACTAGGGTTTGTCACAAGGCAGCCATAGAGGTCCAAGGGGTACGAGTGACCCTTCCTGTCTTTGCAGTCAAAAACTGCAGCTCCGATTTGCTCTTTGGTCGAACGTGGCTGAGCCACGTGCATGCGGTGACGATAGAGCGACCTGATGGGAGTCAAACATTGTCCATTAAGAAGCCAGACGGGACGCGGGTAATGATTGAGACAGTGGAGCCTCGAGACCCGAGGAACAGAGCAGCTCTCGCTGTGGGTGCAAGACCCAGTGAGCAGATTAAGTCGTTGCCTATCTCCARCCGCGCGGTGCGATTTCGCGAGAAGAAATATGGACCACTGCTCACAGAGGAAGAAGGTCGGATGGTGGAGGTCGAAGACTTAGGGAGTCGCCTAATAGTGGACGGCAACTCGTGCCCAAAGGGAAAAGATGAGGAATTTGGCGGTGTGGTATCCGTGTCTTTTTAAAGGGCACGGCTACCCAAGCGACACAAACGAGTAGCGCAAAAAGTTAAGCCACCGGCAGTGGGCCGCGAGCGATCTGCACTAGAAGGGATATCGGAAGAAGAGATCGCGAAAGAAATCAAAGAAAGAAAGAAAAACGAGCCGCAACGTCTAACGGAAGAGASGATAGCAGGGATGGACATCGGAGATGGRAATTTGACCCCACARGAGCGAGAACGTGTGATAGAAATCCTGAAGACATGTRATAAGGCCATAGCTTTCAGCGACGCGGAGCGSGGTAGGATTGATCCTCGATACGCTAAGYCAGCTAGAATTTATACGATTCCACATGTTCCTTGGAATGATGCGGGATGGAAATACGCCCAGAAGGAGAAGGAAGAAGTTATTGCTTTCCTGAAAGAAAAGATGATTTCCCACGTTGCGGAGCTGTCTGATAGCGCTTATGCTAATCGATGGTTCTTCCTACGGAAACCGAATGGCAAGATCCGATGGATCCAGGACCTTCAGAAGGTCAATGCGGTGACGATACAAGACGTGGGCTCCGTGCCGCATGCCGATTTACTAGCAGAAGGCGCGGCAGGTAGGTCGATCTATTCGGTCTGTGATCTGTTCTCAAGCTATGATGAGGTACCACTTGACCCTAGGGACAGACACCTCACGGCTATGCATACGCCATTGGGACTAATTCAAATGATGGTTGTCCCTATGGGTTGGACTAATGGGGTAGCCGTTTTTCAGAGAGCCATGGTAGCCGTCCTCAAGGACTTCATCCCCGATAAGGTTGAAGTTTTTCTGGATGACTTTCCTATAAAAGGGCCAGTAGACAGGGATGAGACAGAGGTTATACCTGGAGTTAGAAGATTCGTCGAGCAGCACCTAACAGACATTTGCGCGGTACTCGAGCAGCTGGACGATGCGAATTTGAGAGTCAGCAGAACCAAGAGTCGATGGGCCGTCTCGACTATTAAGATCTTGGGCTTTATATGTGACTCGAGASGACGCCGAGCAGACCCGGCGAAGTTAGACARACTCCKRAACTGSCCGTCACCGTTACATAGCCCAACMGAGGTCCGACAGTTTCTGGGAGTGGTCGGTTACTGGCGTATATTCAYACGGGGGTATGCGGAGAAGGCTGAGCCATTGAGGTTACTCCTTCGAAAGACTGAAAAATTATACTGGGATTCTTCGCAGGAACTCGCAATGCAAGAACTTAAAGACGAATTTAAGGAGGGAGGCCGCGTGTTGGGCGTCCCATTCTTTGACGATGAGACCGAGAGACCCTTCATAGAATCCACGGATGTTGGGCCGTGTTCAGTCGGTGGTTTGCTGTCTCAGAAGGACGCTGGAGGGAAGGAAAGACCGTTAAGATTTGAGAGTAGGACACTTAATACGGCCGAGCGTAACTACGGTCAATTCAAGAAGGAAGTGTTAGCTGTTCTCYGGTGTCTAGATACGTTCAGACACTATATCTATGGGCGACGGTTCATCTTGAGAGTAGACCCCACCGCGGTTGCCTCTRTCCTCCAGAAGGACTTYAGTCTGACGGACCCGACCATCGCCCGATGGTTAATACGGATTCGGCTATACGAATACACGGTTGAGAGAGTATCTGGTACTAAAAATGTCGTGGCAGATGGACWATCACGCATCCCTCTCGAGCGTCCGATAGTAGCTGGGGCTCTGACAATGGCAGAGTCGAGGCGCGCCGAGAGATTTCTAGTTAATCTTTACGAAGGCAAGTACCGAATGATCGGACTACACCTGACGGGAGAGGAGAGTCAAGATTCAAAAATCCGGAGGCAAGCAGCCCAGTACTGCCTTAGAGCGGGCCACCTTTTCCGAAGGCCAGTAGGGTCGGGAATGCCCTTACGAGTAGTCTGTGATCCTGAGGAGAGACAGACGATAGTTGCGGAACTACACGACGGGGTAGTCGGAGGACACAGGGGAGTTAAAGGAACCTACGAAAAGATACGCCGGCTGTACTGGTGGGAAGGACAGTATAAGGACGTCGA